ATGATGTTCTTCCAAGCTTACAACTTGATGGCGATAGTGATGATCTTATCTGAGAGTCAGGTGAAGCGTAAAAACAGAGAGTTTTCAACCAAACTGAAAATATCTGCAGTCCTTGTTCTGGGACTCACTGGCTCAGCAACTATATCGTGGTACAATTGCTTTTCTCCACAGAACCTTTCTCGCATGTTCCTGAAAGCCATTTTATTTGCTTCTGCTATTTTTGTCATTTTAATAGTTTCTGCGGCGGCAAGGAATATCAGCATTGAAGACACGCCAACTGACGAAACTCAACCAGAAGCTTCAGTTTGGAAGATCTTTCCCAAAAAAAGATATCTGTTTTTGGTAACTTTGTTAATAATGTGCTTGATAATAATTTTAAGCTGGGAACCTCACTCCGAATCAAGTCGCAACAGTTATAAACCTGAAGATTTTGAGGAGGTTATTGTATCGAAGGAGGTTGCATATTCAGTTGTTGAAACGTTCTTTGTTGGAATCGTTTTACCAGTAATATTAACTAATCTCATCGATTCAAATTATGAAGAAAAAGATGAGATAAAAACTATTCTCATTTAGTACCGTGTGAGGTTACTGACTCAGTCATTGATAGATCTATAAGGTTTCCAACTTCGAACATTTTGGGAGAGTAACATCACCCGTTGTACAACAAGGATTGTTCAGAGGATAGTCTTATATGGGGTCGTGAAGTACTTATTTAATGATATGATGTACAAATTTGTTTGAATTTACCATCTACACAAAAGTTATGAGCAGAACTTTAAGTCCAATGGTTTGCTTTTGTTTTGGTCGGCCATAACGATGAGTTGTGCGATATTGACTGGTTTTTTTTTCTGTTTTTTCGTTCTTAGTTTGTCTCTTGTTTGACCGGAAGCGCGGTTAGGTACGTTATTGTTCATACGTGAAATCCTTGTGAAAGTGTTTGAGTTAAAGTTCTGCTACCAAATGTTTGATCTTCGTGAGTTGGCATGCCCCCTGATAATGGATCTTAAAGTAGGTACCTAAAAGAACCACAGTCCGAGTAAGGCAGACAGCATGATAAGAGAAAAGTGGTAAATTTGCTGTTGGTAGAATTGCAGTAGAGACCTAATTAAAGAAGAACTAAAAGGCCAAGTCTGTAGAGTCCATTGAGCCCTTTGCTAAGTGTGCTACATTTTGCGGCTATAGTTCTCCCCTTTCGGTAAAATGGTTTTAACTCGGAAGCACAATTTGATCGTGTTTTCTGATCATTTGGTTGAGAGTTTTCTTTAAAAGGACTGTTTTCAGTACAAGTGACTGAAGTTTCGTAAACCTTAGCGGAGGTCATCATCGGAGTTCACTCTGATGATGTTGTTGTGTACGAAGGTAGTCAAGCGAATTAAACATGTGTCTACTAACGCGGTGCGTAAGTCTGTTCAAAAAGGAAATCGTTCAGGCTTTCGATACTGAATATGCGAACTTCCTGTTTAATTTATGGATAAAAAGCAACGCTTTTATAACAGACGTTTCAGCTGCATGAAGATTGGTAAGGCTTGACCAGATTTGGTAAGAAAAAATCACTGGGCGCGCTTGTCTCACTCAACTGATGACAAGTTTCTTCACAAAATGAACAAAAAGTTTGCCTAGTGCGACCTTAGGCCCAAAGTTTTGACAGCTTTTTTAACTTACACGCGAGGATTTGTATAAAAACGTGAATCCCGAAAATTTCATGAAAACCCAAAACAAAAATTTGTTCTGTTTATGTTTTTCCAATGCAAAAACACCGGTCGTTGAACAATCGTTCGTGCGTCACTAAACATCTAAAATAAAGTGGATAATTATGCAAAAGCAGATTTGTATCAGATAATTTAGTCAAACAGCTTTGAGTATATAGAGACAACTCCCTGGTACGCATCATGGGTCGGATTTTTCTCATCTTCCATGCACTTTTGGAACTAGCTGCAGTCGCCTTCAACCTACGGATGCTGTTGAGTTGCTTCAAAGACAAAACGAAATACCCGTTTCTTCAAAGAGGTAGAATGTTCTTCATTTGTCAGTGGATTTGCCAAGTTACAATTCTCGTCGCCGACGCCGTAGAATCGTGGAAAGGATTTACAAGCCAGCTAAAAAACAGCTGCAATATCTTCAGGATCCTATCGCTCTCAATGATGTTCTTCCAAGCTTTCAACTTGATGGCGATAGTCATAATCTTAACTGAGAATCAGGTAAAGCGTGAAAACAGAGAGTTTTCAACCAAACTGAAAATATCTGTAGTCCTTGTTTTGGGACTCACTGGCTCAGCAACAATATTGTGGAATAACTGCTTTTCTTCAAAGAACCTTTCTCGTATTGCCCTAAAAGCCATTTTTTTTGCTTCTGTCATTTTTGTCATTCTAATAGTTTCTACGGCGGCACGGAATATCAGCATTGAAGACACGCCAGCTGACGAAACTCAACCAGAAACTTCGGTTTGGAAGATCTTTCCGAAAAAAAGATATGTGTTCTTGGTAACTTTTTTAATAATGTGCTTGACAATAATTTTAAGCTGGGAACCTCACTCCGAGTCAAGTTCCAGTAATAATAAAGCTGAAGATTTTGTGGAAGTGAATGTATTTAAGGAGATTGAATATTCAGTTGTTGAAACATTCTTTGTTGGAATCGTTCTACCAGCAATGTTAACTGATCTCATTGATTCAAAGATGAGATGAAAACTACTCTCATTTAGTGTCGAGTGAGGCGGTTGAGTTATGAATAGATCTGGAGCTTCCAACCTCGAACATTTTGGGAAAGTAACATCATACTGTGAAACAAGGATTGTCATTTTAAGAAGATAGTCAGATATGCGGTCGTGAAGTACATATTTAATAATATGATGTAGCAATTTGTTTGAATTTGCCATTTACACAGTAGTTAAGTATAGAAATTGAAGTCCAATGATTTGTTTTCGTTTCGGTGAATCTGCCATGATTTTGTGGCACAATTGTTTTTCTCATGCGTTGATTTATCCAATGGCTTCCTAAAAGCCAATTTTGTTATGCTCGCGTCTCCCGTCGTTGTACTGGTCGCTGTGGCAATGTCTACCAGTAGCGCTAAATGGTGACTCGAGAATGCCTCTCCAAAAACCGCGGAAGGCCTGTATGAGAGGCAAGAAGCAACTCTTTGCAGTTTTGTTGTTGCCATGTCTAGTTTTGATCCTTAGCGGCGCACCCCTCTCTAACTCAGAGACCCATACGAAGATTTAGAGCGCGATGCAAGGTTCATTATATAGTAACAACCAAAGTGGCGATCGCGATTGTTTTACCATTGACTTTATATTAATTATAGATGTATTAATTCGAGTACAAATGGTAGTATGGAGAGTAGATGAATAAAACAAACAATTAAGATGAACCCGCATAGCTCTTCAAAGAATGTTAACTGGCGCGAGGCAGCTCACGGTAAGATTTTTGCAGGGCCCCATACTTCATTAGGCATGCAAATATGTAAATCACATAGCAAAGATGCACAAAAAAGCCATTTAGTCTGACCAGAACACTACCAGCTAATAACCTCAAGTTTTTTTTAAAATACAAGTGTTTTTTAAAATACCCAAAACATTTCTCGAATTTGGTTCATTTGATCCTTCATATAATTATTGTCTATTTTAATTTCTATTTCAGTGGTTTGGCAAAGTAGCCTTACGAAGTTGTTCGAATATTCTGAGGACTTAGACCAAATGTAGCGTCATACCTGTCACCCAGAGAACATTATGGGACTAAGATATGTTATAGCCCGGCCGTGTATAGACATGTAAGACTTACTATTAAAAATTAGCATAAGAAATCAATGACGTTTACATAGATCAAGTACAATACTGCAAATTTTTTTCGGACTAATCAAACATTACCAATCCGTTTTTGCTTGTACAAAACGTCATCAAATAAAACCGTAGTAACACAACAGCCTCAAATGCTGCGAAGTGCAAAATCCGGAAGCGAATATATTGTATATTGTGTTGTTGTCATGCATCACCTTTTCGGTTCTCATATGGCCTTTCTCACAGAATTTTAACAACATTCGTCCTCTTTCAGTGAAGCTGGTCGCCTGTAAGTAAGATTGATTTTTTAGTGAACAGCGATGAGATTCTTTGAATATCAAACTGACTTCGGCAATAGGAAACTACACTAGGGAAACTATGATTAGGAAACCACAATGCTTTACACCTTAAGCTAAAAATAAATTAGTGATATCGAAATATTCCGGTCAAAGTCCTAATTTTCTCTCTTTGCCCCATCATTGTAATCTTCTGGCAAGTATTTGACATAAATGTAGCCCATGAACGCTGGGAATCTTTTTGTGATATAGGGGCAAAGTGCTCGCATCTTTGACCTTGAAAATGGAACTTCAAGCGTGATTCTCAAAACTTTTGTTAGAAAATTCTAGGGACTATCTGATGAGTCTCTCGCGATCGAGACAAAACACCCCGTCCTTATAGACATGAGCAAAAAAAGACAACTGTAGCTATTTCATTTTAATCAATATCTAATACAAACTACATTGTTATGTTGGGGCCAAGTTTCTAAAGAAACTATGATGCTGCGTCGGTGGGGGTGTGACAGAATAGTTTAATTTTAACATGGTTCACTGAGTTGAAAATGTAACTTGGCCAACGTAAGGTTGTTCTAATGCTGACGTTTTGAGCGTTACCCTTCTTCAGCTTTTAAAAAACTGGTATTGTGTCCACATATAGGATTCAATTACATCCAACTAGTAAACTGTTTTTCTTCCGCTCTCTCTAAGGGGGCTTAGTTGGAAAATACTGTTATGACGTCTGGAACGTGATTAAAGGTGGCGTGAGGCTGAGTACTGTGCAATATTTAGCATTGAAGCATTTATCGACAAATTGTTCATTTGCTTTTGCATTGCGGTATAATATCAAAATCTCGCGTGTCATTCAAATTTCCTAACTATCAGCGCCTCTTGTACTTCTACAAGTGGAGAGAAATGAGAAATCAAAATGACATCCATACAAAAATTACATAAAAAAAACTAGAACAAAAGTTTTCTTAAGTTAATATGTACCAAAACCAAAATACTGCTGAGCAATTACACGCATCAGCAAAGTTAAGTGGAGATCATTCAAATGCAGATTTGTACCATGCAGACAATTTAAGTCAAACAGCTTTGAGTACATAGCGAAAACTCCCTGGCACACAACAAGTTAAGCTGGGTACCGAGAATCTTTTCTATCTGGCTTTTTTTCGTGCATCATGGGTTGGATATTTATGATCTTCCTTGCATTTTTGCAACTAGCCGCAGTCGCCTTCAACCTACGGATGCTGTTGAGTTGCTTCAAAGACAAAACAAAATACCCGTTTCTTCAAAGAGGTAGAATGTTCTTCATTTGTCAGTGGATTTGCCAAGTTACAATTCTCGTCGCTGATGCCGTAGAATCGTGGAAAGGATTTGGAAGTCAGCTCAAAGAAAGCTGCAATATCTTCAGAGTCCTCTCGCTTTCCCTGATGTTTTTCCAAGCTTACAACTTGATGGCGATCGTGATAATCTTATCTGAGAGCCAGGTGAAGCGTGAAAACAGAGAGTTTTCAACCAAACTGAAAATATCTGCCGTCCTAGTTCTGGGACTCACTGGCTCAGCAACAATATCGTGGTACAACTGCTTTTCTTCACAGAATCTTTCTCGTATGACCACGAAAGCCATTTTTTTGGCTTCTGTCATTTTTTTCGTTTTAATCGTTTCTGTGGTGGCACGGAATATCAGCATTCAAGACACGCAAACTGACGAAACTCAACCAGAAGCTTCGGTTTTGAAGATCTTTCCCAAAAAAAGATATGTGTTCTCGGTAACTTTGTTTATAATGTGCTTGATAATAATTTTAAGCCAGGAACGTCACTCCGAGTCAAGTCCCAGTAATTGTAAAGCTGAAGAGTTTGTGGAAGTGAATGTTTTTAAGAAGGTTGTTTATTCAGTTGTTGAAACGTTCTTTGTTGGAATCGTTCTACCAGTAATAATAACTGATCTCATCGATTCAAATTATGATCGAAAAGATGAGATAAGAACTATTCTCCTTTAGTGCCGAGTGAGGCGGTCAAGTATTGATAGATCTAAGGTTTCCAACTTCGAACATTTTGGGAAAGTAACATCAGTTATTGTACAACAAGGATTGTTAAGAAGATAGTGTTATATGCGGTCGTGAAGTGCTAATTTAATGATATGATGTAGCAATTTGTTTAAATTTACCATCTACACAGTATTTAAGAGTAGAAATCTAAGTCCAACGTCTGTTTTGTTATGGTCGGCCATAACGATGAGTTTCGCGATATTGACTGCTTTTCGTCTTTTCGTGCTTAGTTTGTCTACTGACTTTGCCTTGTGCATACACTTAAGACGTCAGCTTTTTTACCCTTTACGGTGGCTAATTTACAAATTTACGAGGAGTTTAATTTCCACGCCATTATCACTGATTTCAAAGTAAATTATTCTGAACATAGTACATCAAGAACGGAATGACTAATTACAAGATCTGAAATAACGTATTGAAATACAAATAACAAGAAATATGTACAACTTAGGCAATACTAATAACATAAGGACCACGGGACACTTGACGAAAGAGCAATTTATCTGAAGATTTTTTAAATACTCCTGAATAACTTACTTGCGAATACCTTCACGGGAGCTCACACCTTTCTTATTTACATGATCCGCGCGAAATTCAAAGTTAGCGCAAACTGGGGCAAAGAGGAGGATTGGTTTCTACACGCATAGCTCTACAAAGAATTTTAACTGGCGCGAGGCAACTTACTGTAAGATTTTTGCAGGACCCCATACTTCATTAGGCATGCAGTTCTTTAATAAATAAATTGATGCCGAAAACAACAAACTGATTTTTTGGGACCACGGTTTTGTTTTAGAATAGTGAGGAGTTAAACGGAAATTTTTCCCAACGTGTTTTTCATGATTAGCAAAACATTAGCGGCAAAACTAAAACTAATGTCATAATATTCCCTTATGCTGCCTCTTTCGTTTTTCAGATATTTGGCTTCCACTGCTATAGATCCTATCCGCCAAAGAGAAATTCATCCAGCTGGTACTTAACTTCTCAATAAACCGGGAGGATAATTTTATTGCTGGAATAAACAAACTGCGAAAAAGCACCACTCTATTTGTTTGCATCTTGTCGTTAAAGGTGAAGCTGGAGATCACACAGAAACAAATTAAGACGTGCAAAATTTCTGGAAATCGAGCGCAGGAATCTCGTAAATTATTAACTTGTTTAACAGTATAACAAGAGTAAGCAAAATCAAAGTTTATTGTTGCCGTTCGTGCTTACTATACAAAAGTTAATAATTATGAATCCACTAATTGTAACTGTGTCCAATGTAGATCGCAACGCCTTACATTCTTTTTCGTTTGTTTATTGTTCTTGTGCAAGAGTGCTAATTGTATTAAAATTTTGTGTGCGCTTTCTTTGTGTCATTGCGTAACGTTACGTAACGTAGCATGTATTCAACCGTATTGTTCATCGTAGTTTGGTGCAGTTTTTGCAGTGTAGTTTCGTCGAGTGTAGTTTCGTATATTTGTTCTTTTCGCTTCGTGCAGTTTGTTCGCCACTAGGCAGGATCTATAACATCGCAACAAATGTAAGTTTTGTATCATGTAGTTTTCTTCGTTGTTTTCGTTATAGCTTTCCCTCTTGTATTTAGTCTAGTTTATATTGTAATAGTTTTCGTTCGCAGTTTTATTTGCAGTTTTAACTGTACCGTGTCGTTTCGTTCCGCGTTAAAAATTGCTCTAGAATTAGTTAGTATTAGTCGCCAGTGGCAGTTACATCCAGCATAAATTTATGTCGGCCATGTAGAAACTGCAATCACTCGTTTTCAACTCGAACATGTCAACTCGTCGACATTATTGATGAACTCATTGGATGTACATCTGTAACGAGAGGATTTTTAGTTGCCTAGCTTACTGTGCTTACGCTATTGAAAAATATAAATTCAACATGAAAACTGCGGAACTTTCGCTCGTGTGGAATTTTTTACCATCCGTACCTGCGTTGTTTTGAAAGTGATTTATAATGCAAAAGGCTATTTTCCTTTCTTGACAATCGTTGTCAATTCATAACATGAGCTGATCTTTTAGATAACTAATAACATTACCTAGTTACCAAAAGTAACTCGTCCATGCAAAGAAACATAATTTTGAGGTTTTAAACCTGCTAATTAGTTGGCGCCTTGTTTTGAACTTGTTTATTTTGAATGTTGCTTCGATACATTAGCTTGCTCAGAAGTATTCAATTTTAATTTGTCATATATTTTTTTAGTAGTTTTCAATTCTTAACTAATTTGTGACAGTGTGCCCAGTCAGTTTTCTTCGTGCCCTGACAGGATTTCGTTTCTTGGTGAGGAGTATTTTAACATGTTTCGAGTACAAATGTGCAAAGAGCATCTTTCGCTCGCAAACGAGGCTCATTTATAATCCAGTTGCGTTCAAATTTTTTGAGATTTGTACTTTCTTACATCATGAGTTTGGTATTCATGATTTTCTTGGCATTTATACATCTATCAGCAGTCGTCGGCAACCTACAGATGCTGTTGAGTTGTTTCAAAGACGAAAAAAAGTACTCGTTTCTTCAAAGAGGCAGAAGGTTTCTCATTATTCAGTGGGTTTGCCAGGTCACAATTCTCGTCGCTGACACAGTAGAGTCATGGAAAGTATTTGCAAGTCACCTCAAAAAGAGCTGTAATATCTTCAGGGTCCTGTCGCTTTCTGTGCTGTTCTTCCAAGCTTGCAACTTGTTGGCAATAGTAACCATCGTTTTGGAAACCCCAGTAAAGCGTGGAAATCGAGAGTTTTCGACCAAACTCAAAATATTTGCAGTCCTTGCTCTAGGACTCACTGCGGGCTCAGTAACAATGTGGTGGTACAACTGCTTTTCCTCTCAGAATCTTTCTCAGTTGACCCTGAAAGCCACAGTTTTTGCTTCTGTCATCGTGGTCATTCTACTGGTGTCGATGGCGGCACGGAATACCAGCATTTAAGACACGCCAACGGACGAACAAAAGACACGAGCTTCGGTTTGGAAGATCTTTAAAAAAAGAAAAAATTGTATTTGTGGTTACTGTGTTAATTTTGTGCTCGATATTAATTTTTTTCTGGGAATTTAGCTCCGACTCAACCCCTAGTAAAATTAAAGATTTACAAAAACCCATGGTGTTAAAGGAGTTTGAGTTTTCAATTATTGAGACGTTTCTTATTGGAATCTATCTACCAATAATTTTAATTGATCTTATTTTTTCAAGTTACGAAGAAAGGAATGATATGAAATACATGCCTATCTAGGTATGAATGAATAAATGAATGAATGAATGGGGGTGAATCATGGACATGTCTGAGGTTACTTCGCTATAAAATTGTAAGGAAGATCACATAGGCACTACATGAAGATGTACATCTCATGAATTCATCATTAATACGTCGACGAGTTGACATATTCGCGAGCTGGCCGAGTACCATGTCGGCATTCAGTAATTTTACATTGTTAATCCTTTCGAGTGTTTTCCCATATAAGTAATTATGGTTATCTCTGTAACGCAATTCACTACTATCTTTTTATATAAGGTACATGAAACAGTATAATGCAGTTGTAACGAGGCATTTTAAGGAAATATGGTGTTACCATCATGTAGAATTGATTCAAGAGCGGACTTGAGTCCAGCTTAATAATTATTGAAAGCGAAATAACGTGTTTTGTTTCACGAAAGCATGTTGCAAGGGGTCTTCTATTCAGGGAATAAAAAACCCCTTAGTGGGGAGGGGGTGGGCTCACTTATAATGTTCTTTTCTTTGCATTGGGTTAGTTGATTAGGTAGACTTGATTCCGTTTTCTCTTTGCAGGAAGGTTGTCAGGAAAAGCGCAAGTGTACGGGACAACCGCGAAAGGCATTGTGGATAGTTTTTAGGTCCTGGGAGAATCACACACATGCAAAAATTTCTGCATGCTCTTTGGCTGAGAAAACTTCCATTGACCCCAAACAGCGCAGAAAGTTGAAGTGTAGAATGACATTTCATTCAAATCAGATGAAGAACGGAAAAAAAGGACGAACTCGCTGACCTTAATGAACGACGAAACAATGTAAACCCAACGAGAGCAAATTCGTGGTGACCTAAAGGGAAAATGTGTACAACGTAATATTCTGATTTTAGATATATGAAAATTCATATATTTGCACTGCGGTGGAGAGATGAAATTAAGAGATCCTCGCAGCTAAGAGCCTGAACGTACGTACGGGCCTGAATTTTTTTCAGGTCCTATTTACAACTACTCGTTTCAGTAGTGTTCACGTAATATTCTGTTTTGTTCCTCTCGTAGGCATGAAATCACGACCTTTAAACGTCAGAAAAAGTGTTTTTCAAATCGAACAAATCTGATCCATAAGAAGCTCCCAATTTCTTTCCAATGAGTTCCCAGTAGTGGGATCCCTGTGTCGGTTCAAAGGTTTTTAGGATCGCTAGGGGGGTGCCAGAAGGAAATGTATAGCGATTGGACAGCTGGAAACTCATTCGTTTATGCATTACCCCCTACCCTCCGCCCCCATCCGACAAAAAGACAAACAAACAATCACCTTGAACTTACATAAAATACTGTTTTATTACTAAAAACCAAGACACAATTCTAATTATATACTATTTGTCTATGTACAGTCTAAGTGAACTTTTAACTTTTGAAATTAATTACAATTCATTCTCGTCAAATTTCCAAGGGTAAGCCTCTCCACATGACAATGCCTAAATTGAAAGCCATTGGCTTTTATGAATGGGAAGAGTTATTTCTTACAGATACAGAAAATATATTTTTTTTATAAAGGAGCCATTATAAGGCATCTGGTGTTTTCATGTACCAAAATTCACATTCACTAAGCTCTGCGACTTTATTTGGTTGTTGAAAAACTTTTTAGATACACGTAACTCATGTAGAAGTAACTCATTCAATATCAAGGTTGATGACAGTCACCACAAGTAATGGCTTGTGCATTAAGGATGCAAATTTAACCTATTTCAAGTAATCAAACGTTTTTACTACAAAATAAATTTATTACTTTTCAAAATTAGCCCCGTAATCTATCTGAAAGGCAATGCCGTTATCAATTCCTTTCCAACCAAAAATTAGAGATGACTAAATCAATGCTACCTTGTTAACTAGCCCAATACAAAAAAAAAAAAAAAACCCTCAAAAGTGAGCACCCCCCAAAAGCATACCACCCTTCCCCCCCTCAAAATGTACCTATCTCTGAATGATATGCTTCCCCTTAGTTAATATCAGACAGTATGTTTTTGCTCCCAGGAAAGAATTATGGACATATTCTATTGAAAATGTGACAGGATTGAAAAAAACAAGGTAATGATACTGGATACTAATGCTGGAAAAACCCAAGGTAAGCATTCAGAGCATTCTCCATTTTCAGTGCAAGCGACTTCACATGGGTGCATTCCATGAACCAGCCAATGTAGAGTAAGACTCCACTTTGAATTTCTTTCAATTTCTTGTTGACATTTTTTCTGTCAACACTTTATTTTCCAAAACTCGGGTGTGGCTTATCTGCAAGTTTTTACAATAAGCTAATTTCCTAAACCTATTGCTAAACAAAAATTACAACTTTACAGTGGTGCCTCTGTAAAAAATTGGGCAGATTCTTGCGAAAACAAAGATTATGTTTGCTGTCTCAATATATTACTTTGGTAATTTACTCATTCTTCTCTTTATCCCTGGGAGTCGCTAACATTAAATTTCTGCAAACAAGTACTGCTCCAAAATGTGCCCATACTCCCAAACTTTGTTTTCAATTATTAACCCTTACCACCAAAGCCCTTTCAAAATTTTTAATGTCTTTCAATTCTATGGCTTCAGATGAACAACAAACAGTGCAATGTCCAGCCACTGAACATACAGTGAGCCTCTGTATCATGGATGGGAAAATTTCCTGTACACGTAGAGTGCACCAATGTATTTGTTCAAATTTCTTTTGAGACAAAACTTGCAGAAAATTCATTTCTGATTCCTATTGACAAAAATGCATGTTTTGGTGAAGGGTACATCTACTTCGTTACTCTCATGGTCTATAAATCAGTTAATTATATTCTATTTCTTTTCAGCTCTCTCTTCCACTAAGTAACTTGTTTCAAACCTCAAACAGCATCTTAATGGCCTAGAACAAGCAGGAAAGACAGATGGAGTGTTTAATGCAATTTCACATACCAGTTTGGGTATTAAAATTTCCTATCACTCAAAAAATACAGTTAAACAGGTAATTAGCTGCCAGAATATGAAAAAAAAAGAAAGAGATTGTCCAGCCAACAGACTGTACAAACAACTTATGCAAATCCCTCATAAACTTGCTGTAATCCACATCAATACTCTGATTAAAAAATGCACTTGATATAAAAAAGGTCACGAGTATAACTATCTAGCACTTACTTTCTGCATAGCAACAAGCCATGTGAGTGATTGCTTTCTGTGTTCCTCAGGTGACTGCACAACTGTGAGTCTCACCTCCTGCATTTCATCTTGTCGTTTGTACTTGAGAATGAGACCACGGACCCCAGTGTTGTCTGCACACAAAAAGGACAACAGTTTACCTCAGTTTTCAACCATAAAAAATTGTAACTTATTCCAAACAAAGTGGGAACACTCGTGAAAATTGCTAATCACTCATCTTCAGCTCTTGATTAACAAACTGTATTGATGTTTGGTCAAAATGCCAAGTCAGTTATTATCCTTGTAAATTAATAGAAAGGGAAGGCAACTTCCTTTATATAATAGCTTTCAACTTGTAGATGTAACAAACGATAGGTGTTAGACCTACAGAGCAGGCGTAATTTTGGCAAGCACATACCCAGTCTTAACCAAACTTATGGCCACCCGCTTTGATTTTAGTGGCAGTGAAAGGCTGAGGAAAGAAATAAAATTTGTACCATGGGGGCGGTTGATGGTCAAAAATAAGAAGAGGGGTGGGGGGTAACGATTACTATTCTTGCAGTTTCCCTGCCCCCTACCCCCTACCCCCATCGTCCACTCTAACTTCAAATCAAACATGGCTGGTTAGATAAGGATTGTGAGCACTGAAGGCTGAGTCAGAGCTTGCAAAGTATTTCAGTTGTTTTATAAAATGCTACAGAATAATACTGCTTTTTCACTGATCAACACCACAACCAAGGACAAAAAAAAACACAGTACTCACTTTAGATAATGAGTGAACAGTACTTACTGATCATAATATAGTTCACATTTAGCCCTTGCTTACCACTCAGAAATGTATGTTTTTTTAACCTGTTTACCCCTATGAGTGAATGCCATCTAATTTCTTCTTACAGCATCACTTCTGAATCAAATATTGGGGTTAAGAGAATAACTGAAATGATCACCAACTAAAGAAGCTCCTGATTGTTTGACAAATTCTCCTTCAGTTGATAATAACCCTAGTTAAGTGTGGAGAATATGCATATTGATGTTAAGTTGTAAAAGGTTTAATAGGCAGCCAGAAAATGGCATAAATTTTCTTGAAAGTGTCATTTTCTTTTATTCTAGTTTTTCCTTTTTCCATTGTTTGTTTTTTTCTTTAAGGAGGAACTTTTAGATTAGATGACTAGATAATTAAAATCATATACCTTCACTAGCTACAAGCTGAGCTGAAACAATTTTCATCAACATCACTGGCTCATGGACTGCTCTATCTTGATCAGAACACTCGAAAAGCAGTTCTCTGGTGAAAGCAAATTTCACAAGATTAAATGGAAAAGATGAAAGAAAATGAGGATTAGCAAGCTTACATTGATGCAATGGGTAATTGCTGAGGGGTACTGCAAAGAAATGTTTAATTGATCACTTTGTATACATGTAAATACACTGATTATATAACTGAGGGTATGGGGTCTTTCTATTTTTGTCCAAGATGAAGTAAAAAACTTTGTGCCCTGTTGTGTCTAGTCCCTGAGTTATGCTGTAACTACAGGCCTGAAAAATATATATGCCTGGTATCTAAAAGCTGTGTGTTCACAGGTTGCCAATTGAAATTGAAGACTTATCATTACATCTTTAAGCCAAATGGGAAGATTAACAGCCCCACTCAGATGTTCACTTTCTAGAAGAAGCATGAAAGCATTTTTTTTTCCTCTTCACTTTCCCTTCTGTTGACCCTTCTACTTTTGTTGCTTAATTTTTGCACTCCAGCCTCCATTATAAGAGAACACCTGATTGCAGGTTACTCTCATCAAGTTTTCTTTTACAAGCTACATGTTAAGATTTGTTCTGTCAATCCCCTACCTTTGTGAATGATGTTCAAGTTTGCAAAGGAATCTTAAGGGTTCTGATTCATCAATAATAAAATAAGCCCCTGTTGAAAGACATAATGTGACAACTGCAAAGTCAGATTTAACCTTTGGTACAGTTCTATTGTTTAGGAAGCCCAAGAATAGCTTTGCACTCAGCACAGAATGATACATTATTTCAAAGTAAAATCTCTAATTAATTAACGTTGAGAGCTTGCACCACAGCTATCGTTATAATTATCACCACATCTTAGAAGGTAGTTGTCACGCAAAGGATACAGTCTTGCAGGCATCTTGCCATAATCACACTGTTACACAATTCTAGTGTTAATGGTAAATTACCCTGACACCAGCTTAATTTAAAAGATGCATTAATTCTGCTGCTATAATTGTGATTCATTGCTACTGCACATTTTTTCCCATTAAAGGCTGTACTGTAAAAATAACCGTACACATTAAGATCACATGCACCAAGTGCATTCTCAGCTCTGTCATGTTTTCTTACTTACCATTACACAGAGTCTTCAAATGTCTTTCAAAAAACTCCTCTTCACGTTTGGCAATGTGGGAACACTCCTCACAGACTCTGACAGGGTCAACAAAACTAAGCCTTGGTAGCATGACATTATAGTTGCAGCACTTGCCACAGAAAATCTTTCCACATCTTCTGCAATGGTGCTGTAATGCAATTCAACAGAAAAAAACATTTTTTTGTGACATTTTACACTTAAACTGCTTCCTTAAAAGCCCAGAGTACCTCTGATATTGATAAGCAGACTTCTCCCTCAAGGCATTGATACAGTCATATTCTCTCTAAAATGTGTTTTCTCTTCTTTTACTTGGTTACAAACATTATAGATTTATAAACAATTACACTGATCATTTTGCTACTAGAAAAATATTTTATGTGGTTGAGTAAAATATCAAAATTTGCCTGTGGTCAATTCGTTGACACTGGTGACAATGAAAAAACTCAATATTTCAAGTTCAACTGAATGACTGATCAAACCCTTCAACCCCCTGAAATGATTGACACATAACTTCTCCTTCTCATTCCAATATATCATCTTCCAAACAGGTTAAAGCAAAACCTTCATTTAAGATCAAATTCTCCTGGCTAATTTACAGGGAAATGTACAATGGTCAGTAATGAGAATTACTCATTGGATCATGAAAGAAGCTTCAATACATCAGTTGAAAATTATACCATCAAGTAACAACAATTGGACAGATTTATCAATTGAAAATATCATGTTAAGTCAGTGTTGTTTAGCTCAATTAATTGACCTGGGTGACATCAATATTCTGCAATGGCTAAGTGACAACAAGCTCTTGGAAGTGACAGGGTGAAAATCTGATCACACATTAGACAGTGTAGGAACATGGAAACAACTATACTATTGAGCAGAAAACTATTCTATCAATTAACAACTATTGAAGAGGAATAGGCACTATATTATGATATGTTAGTGTCGCTCAGCTCAATCAATTGACCTGGGTGACATCAACAGGACATAATATTCTGCAATCGCCAAGTTCAATAATTGTTTTACTCAATAACTCTTGAGAGCTTTAGGGTAAATATATGATCACGCTATAGACAGCATAGGGAAGGACTGTACCATCTTTCATGGAACAGCAAGAAGTGTAACTAAGCATGAGGAGAAAACTATTCCACCCATCAACAATTACTCAACAATAATTGAAGGTAAAGAAGTAAATTGCCTGATTACTCAGTTGATAGATTACAGAGGGGATGTACATGTACCATGTTTCATGGAACGGCATGAAAGCAATACAATGTATGAGCAGAAAAATATTCCATCAGTTAGCAACTATAGGCCTGGAGGAGAATGAGCAAAATATCATGAAATGTCAGTATCACTCAGCTCAGTTTATTGACCTGGGTGACATTGACAGGACACGATATCCTGCAATGGCCAAGTTCACTACCTGTTTTATTATTAATTTTGATCGCTGAGCTGATAGGTTACGATAGCAGTCTTTCATTTTCCACCCAAGAGCAATGACACAAACATGCATTAGAAGTAAGAGTAAAACATTGTTTTCAGTTTTTAATTTCTAAAGATCCTCTTACATGATAGTGATAGTTATGGAGTTTCTGTATTTATTTAGGTATAAAAATGTTTTGGGTCCAACTAAAGAGTCATTTCAGCCTGAGTCACTAGGCAAGGGTTAAAAATGACTCTGACGAGGGCCTAAAACATATATTTATAACCAAATATAGAAAATCTATTGCTATCATAATCACTTTAGATGGAATTGAGAAAATTAAAACTGAAAAAATGATGACAAAACAGTCTGAACAATCATGTAATCCAACAAATACTTAACCTGCCAAAATCTCTATTTTAGCCTATGTAAAGTGCCACAATACCCAAAAAAGTGATAACAATGCAAAATGAAGCAAAACACCCATAGATGGGCATTTCTAAGTCACTTGATAAGATTTGTCTTGCAGAGAAGAATGCCAAAACGTGTCAAACAATAATGAAATTAATATCTGTAAAGCTATTTAAAAATGTCCATTAATATTGCAGATTGTTTTTAAGAGCCTTAACTGTTCACAAGCAGTCATTAGTACTTTGTGGTTCGATAAATTCAGTTAATTATAAACTTCTTCATTAAACATCAAGCTGTAGAATATTAAAGACTTACTGTGGCACTTTGAATGCTAATATCACTTTCCTTCGAAAAACATCTAAAATCATGACCCATTATGGTACATAATAAGCAACCTTAAAAATAAGCTTCACAAAATTGCAAGAAGATTTCATTTCGACGTTTCAACAAGTTAGAAGTTTAAAACTGTTGATTTAAAAAATTGAACATTACCCTTCGATGGCCGAAGTCAAATTTTCGATTACACTTCACACAATTTGGAAACTGCAAAAAAAAAAGTATTTCAAACGCACTGAGATTTGCAACATGATATAGCATTCAAGAGAGGAAATCGTTGACAGGACCATCCACAAGAAGGGTATAGAAATATCAAGAAAAAAAAAATACCTGCGCATCTTCTGTCCAGTGAGGCTCTTCCAGGAGGAAAGGGCATCGTTCACTTTCAGAAACAGCGACCATTCGCAAGCCACTTTTGCCTTTAACGAGCTGCTTTCCTGAAGACATATTGGAATGAATAATAGGTGGTGTAAGCGTTCCTATTGTGTCTTAAGCTCTGTTTAATTAAGCATCACAACAGCTTGTATGCTAGAGAGAGAATTTTAATGTCTTATGACGCAGCTGAGTGGGCTTTGTTGGAATAAATACTCTTTACTGAGTTTCAATAAGGATTCTCTATCATTTTGTTTCTAAACAGTTGCAAGTATGTTGTAAATAAAAAATGAAGGAGTATGTTAAGCCATACCTGCAGAGGGAGAGTAAAGACTGGGACCAAGTTGTAACTCTTCGTTCTGGGAAGAATTTTTGTCTACGTAGAAGAAACTGAATCATCGATCTCTGCTTCGATGGCCTGAATTGATTCCATTCAAAACTGATCTCACTTTTATTGTTTGAGAACATAAATAAATTGGCTTTATGTTCTGTTTGACGAGTAGCCACTGAGCAGTAACAATGAATGTCAATCGAAGCTTGATGTTATTTCTTCTGGCATTTACCGCGTCTTTGAATTTCCATGCCGAATGTTTATCGGCAGTCAAACACCAAGAAAGAGCTCAGGGTAAGTTTCACAATGTGTATTGTTAGCTTTAATCAAAACCAGAAAATTTCACTCTATGTTGCGGTATTTAAAAACACAGAAGCAAATTTTCCCCTTGGCTGCTTCATACTCGATCGAAAACGAAAAGGAATTAGCTAGCTATGTGCGTATCATATGATTCCGCATGTTTATTTGCACGCACTTTCTCTTTTTCGTTAATCCAAAAATGTACAGCCACTGCTATTTTTATCGCGGCTAGAAAAGCAAAGTGTGAAAAGTATTTTTATTGTAGATACGCTGTTGATCCAGTTGTATTCACTGCACTTTCACTAAAATCAAATCGAACATGTCTGGTTCTGATGTCCAGCCGTGTAATTTTGTTTGACTGATTAGCAATGCAGGTTCATGCATACCAGAGTCTCCACGCTGCAAGTTTTTCCTTCTAGGTCAGTCTGCCAGCAAGCATTCTTTGTCTAATCATTTTTGAAAATTTAGGTGGTGAAGTAAAAATTGCAGATTTTAACGTAAACTTTTGAATAGTGCAAGCGGAAATGTAGTTTATTTTATACGCCCTAAAAATATAAATCGAGACCAATTCGAGACATTTACATGTGAAGCACTCCACACAAGAGCACAGTCATTCTGTGCATAGTGGCTTATAATTTAAAGTACTTTGTACATTATTTTAGAATGACTTCACACAACATGATTCAGATTTTACTATTTATGACTTATGCTGAAGACAAAAAAGTGTTTTCAATCTCAAGATATTTTTTATCTTTGTCTTAAACTTGTAGGCATGTGTATATAAAAGCACGATTGCTTTAAATCAATAAATATCAACTTCAAGTTGTTTAATTCCACGAGCATCTGTTCAACTCTCTTTTTTACTATTCAGCATGGGCTTGGATTGGAGGAAGTAAAATTAGGAACCAACACAGCACAGTGGATGGCCAGGAGTCTTATCCTGGAGCAAGGGATGGTGCAACAAGCTGGTTTCACTCAAATTCAACCGTGTGGATGTTTGGTGGAAAAGGGTTTGGACTAAAAAAATCCCAACCCTCACAACTGCCTATGCTAGATGAACTGTGGTCATTTGATATCAAAGAAAGAAAATGGCAGTTTCATCCTTTTGACAACAAAACTTCCAAGGGTCAGAAACCTTTGCCATGTTCGGGATGTGTATCTTGCAGTTACCAAAACAAGGCTTTGGTGTTTGGATCTTCAGGTTCTTTCATTTTTGATATGGGAACAATGACATGGACAGTCTTGCAGGACAATAAATCGTCCCCAGTCCCACGGAGTGATGCTGCTCACTGGTGTGATGCTGAGAAAGGGGTGCTATGGATTTTTGGTGGCACAGACTCAGGGAAAAATCTTGATGATTTCTGGAGTTTTTCATTCAAAAATTCACAATGGAAAGAACTGAGACCCAAGAGTAATAAAAGCACAATTCCTGCTAAGTGCATCAAAGCAACAACCTGGATGCACCCATCTGGCATTCTGTACATGTTCGGTGGATCATGCCATGGAGGACTTACATCGTACTTCTGGAGTTATTCACCTGGAACATTGGAATGGAAAAAGTTTGGTGGAAGTGAGGGTGTCCCAAAGTGTGCTGGAAGGTTTGGGCAGAGGGGTGTTGCATCTAAGGGAAACTATCCGGGTTGTAGAATTGGGGCAGCATCCTGGATAGATCAGTGTGGTAATCTGTGGATGTTTGGTGGATCAGGTTATGATAACTTTTCAGTGTCTGCTTTCGCAATGCCAGGTCTTTTGTCTGACTTTTGGATGTACAATGTCTCCAGCCATCAGTGGATGTGGATGGGAGGATTAAGCAGGGAGGAAGGTAGACCATTCTTTGGAGAAAAAGGAGTTGCAGATGCACGTAATATCCCAGGGCCAAGAGAAAGTGCTATGTCTTTCTCCTACAACCATGAAATGTGGCTCTTTGGAGGGGCAGGACATGATGACAAACAATTTGATGGGCTGCTTAATGACTTGTGGATGTATACAACATTCACAAACATCATCCCAACACAAGGTACACAGTTGCCAGGAGATACCATTAGTATCTCCTTTGGAGTTAGAGTTCTGATTGCCCTCCTTGTCATGGCGTTGGGACTAGTGGTGTCACTATCCATGTGTTACAGCAAGGAATGTAAGATTTTCAGATTCAAGCGACATCTCCGTCCAGTGGTGAAATACACACCTGTGAAGGTTGAGACAGTGCAAGTACTGCAGCCAGAGACAGCTGGTCCAATAAACATTGACCCAAACAGGAACCTGTGATCATTTGTATCTTTGCCATCATGCTTTCAGCTGCACGGAGTACCATGTGTGTGTTTAGATGTGTTGAATAACAGGATTGATATTTTCAATCAATATAAATAAGGAGTTGACACAATTTAAAACTAGTTTCATTAGAATTTTTTTACGCTGGAAGATCTCAGTACATAATGTATCTGTACAAGTTAAAAAAGCAATATAAGACAAAGGAGTAAATGGAGAGCTAATCCTCTAGGTATGTGCTTTTTCTGTTGATCTGGAACAAAGAAAAACTTGAATGAAGCTAGTTAAAAAATCATTTTGATGTGAAATTAATTATAAACTTCAAAATAGATGCAAGAAAAAAGCTCATAAATGTATCTGGATAGAAAGTGAAAGTCATCATGTAATTACATGTATTGGTTAAAAAAAAGAAAGGAACAGTTACTGTTAAATTAACACTGTCATTGTTGTAACCTTATAATAGTTTGGTAAATTATCTTCAAGAGTGCAGAACTTTTGGGACATGGTATGTAGTTATAGAGTACATAAACTGATATTCTGTTAAGTTTGCTGCAATTGATATAAAACCAATATGGACCAGAAATAATCAAAATGCTTGTAGGAAACCAGGTCACTCAAAGTGATATTCCAAAGAAATAGTATTTAAGACTTGTTAGAAGTTTTTGATGTAAGATAGTGAATAACATTGGGTAGGGTCATCATCCTTTTTCATACAATTTATTATGCACAGTTGTTGGAAGATAACACCACTTAGGACATCTGGTAAATAAAGACAGCATGAAGTTATAAAATGCATGCCCAGAACAATCTCTGGTATTCAGAGCTGCATTTACTTTTTGGTATAAATTATTTTTGACTCAGGCTCAGGGACTTTTGTAGAACTGCAGTCATTTTTTTCTTCAAGAACTGCTTTTTTTTGTTTTTAAAAGAAATTTTGACCTTAACTAATGAGTGAACTGTACATATATTTATCATATTTAGGGAATAAAGTTTGATTGTTAAGAATTCTTATTTTATCATTTCCTCCATATTTAGTCAACTCTTAACCCTTTAAGATCTTATTAGTAATTCTCCTTACTGTCTGCCGTATAGTTCTTTTGGTGTTATTTTGGAGAATTTGGTATTGGATCAACCGATAATCCCCTAATTGATATCTTTCTTTATTCTCATCACTTGTCTGCTTGATGTTGGATTGAAATAACAAGGAGAAATTCAGCCTTGATCACTCTTGGGAGTTAAAGGGTTAACCCTTCAACCCCTAGATAGATTATATGCTAGAGTGACTAGCATATAATTCCCCTGGGTCACACTTAAAGGTCTTGAGAATAAAGGAAAAGATCACCAACTAAAGAAGCTCTTGATTGATTAATAAATTCTCCTTGTCAGTAACAATGAAAGGATAGGGTACAGTTAGGAGAATATGCATACTGAGTTTAGGGTGTAAAGGGTTAATGTATTAAACATCAATAATTTTAGTGTTCACAGTAAACTTGCTAGATGATTTTCTCATGGATTTTAAGTTCCTCACCCTAATGAATAGGCAAATTGATTACATATTCCAACTGGAAGGAGACAGAACCAGTTGGTTATGTGCAAAACGAAGCAAGGAAATGCTCTTAACCCTTCAACCCCTAAGATTGACTGGCATCTAACTTCTCCTCCTTCACCATATCACCCTATATCAAACATTAAGGCCAGCTGGAGAATAAAGGAACTCTTCTTAGACAATTGTTAGACAAAATCTCCTTATCAGCACATTAGGAAATGTTTAAAGAACAGTTTAGAGAATATGCATACTGATGTTGGGGCATAAAAGGGTTGACTGAGTTGAGGACTTTACTCCAAAGTCAATAATGTAACACCACCTGGCCTGACCATGCCTTTGTGTGCCAAAAAATGCAAGAACAATTATGTACCCTCTTCACCTTCTATTGGCATGGAGGCCCAGAGGCTCAAGCAAATTACATAAAAAAAATTATAACAAAAATGAAAGTAAAAAAGCTAGGTGACCATGGAAGCAAACAAGTTTTTTATTTACCCTCTCACTCCCAGATCTCATTGGTAATTCTGCTTATTGTCTGTCATACAATTCTTATGATGTTAGTTCAGAGAGTTTGATATTGGATCCACTAATAATCCTCTAACTTACATTTTTATTTATTCTCATTACTTGTTTGCTTTATATTGCATTGATACTGTGAGGAGAAATGCTGTTTTGGTCCACCATGGGAGTAAAGGGGTGAAACAAATGGTCTGGGAATCAAACCCTTGACCTCTTCCTGGTGCATCCAGTACTCTTAGTAATTCCTTGGCCTTGTTCCCATTTCCCCATGTCAGATCAAAAGTACTGAGGATAAAATTAAAGGAAGGAAAATATACTTATCAAATACTAATATTAAACTTAGTCTTAAGAAAAAAAGACAACCCCTTCAAATACATATCCTTATGTCTGTTATGCAAATAATTTTTGAATTGTAATCTCTGAAATATGATATAATAACAATTTTATGATGAGTGTAACAGTGTATAGATAAAGATGATGTACCATATGTAGTAATGCTTCACAATGCTTTACTGAAAAGATGTCAAAGACATTTGAAAAATGGTACAAAATTGAGCAATAGTGTTTTTCAAGTTTTTCTCTCTCTTGTAACTTGAAGAAATCTGTTCATATTCTATATTTTACAAACATTTTAAAGATAAAAATACAATTGATAATGCTTTATTTTTTCTAAACATGTATTTAAAATTTTGAATGTCATTGAGAAAACCTAAATTGTTCACCCATTTTGTGGATATTAAACTTGGAAACATGTAACATTTACAGACCACAAACACCAGGTGAGTTGACCAATTGGCTAGGCCAAGTAGCCATACCTTCTTGATAATAAACAAAATCTAGACTTGCAATTGGCTATTTTTTAGTTAAGGAAACCATTTAAAATTGACAGGAATCATGTTGGCACTTGATCACTTGAATAAAACCTGTTTAACATCAACAACATTCTGCCCATCCCGCACTTTACAATCGATTTGCAGGTTCTTCAAGCATGTCCCCCATTTGACGTGATCCTTTTCCTTCAGGGAATACATTTTGCATTGTACTCTGGCATTCATCTCTTTGCCATCTTGAAACTTCACAAAAATTATCATGTAAAGTCTGTCTTTATTTTTGGATGTACTCATCCCATTTGTAGACCATGAGCATTCATACACTGAAGATCTTTCATCACTTCTCTTGAGTTCATGCTTAACATTTCCTCCACCAATAGAAATTTCACTGTTGTAGAAAAGTGGAAATAAAAAATAAAAATCAATTTACATTCACCTACCTTCAGCCTTTAACCTTTTAAACTCTATGGGCTGGTTATTTACCTGTGGTCTAATGCAAACCTCAGTTTTACACAAGCAATGGGCCTTAGGTATTCTCTATAAGAGGGTTGATTCAATAAAATAAATGTCTTCCCCAATGCTAGCTTTTGTTCCACTGTAAGCTGTTCATAGAAACTAATATTCAGATAAAAGATTCACTAGCAAAATTGACAATGGTTTAGAATACAGTTTTGTTAAACAACAGCCTATCTTTTTTTTGAATAACTGTTCCTAAGAGTAACCAGCATCTACTTTCTCCTTAGGGTAATACAGCTGAATCATTCATAAAGATTATGAGAACGAAGGGAAATGATTGCCAACCTTGTTAAACAATTCTCCTTGTCAGTAACAAAGTAAGGGAATGTATGGAGGAGAGAAAGGAGTAAATGGATATTGATGTTAGGGTATAAAGGGTTAACCACTTAGAGTTACTGGCATCTGATTCCTTCTTATATCAATAATGACAACAAATTAAAATTGAATATAAGGAATGTAAAACTGATGAATCGATATAAATATTTTTATTTTAAATTTTCTCGGGATTGCAGTGACATTGACACCTCAAAAGCATGAACCATGAATGACAGACACTGTCACTTATTGGGCAGTGTTCATAAATTAACCACATAACCATAACTACAGTGATTTAGGTCTTCATTCTTTGTGGCAAATCTCTCTCAGAGTAATTCTTTTCTTTAAGTTAAGGTTAAAGCTCATGCAAGCTTAAGTCTGGCTCGTATTCGGTGAAAGAACTTCTTATATCTACGGATGATGTAGAGCAAAGAATACAAATAATTTAAATCACACAGACTATGAAAAGAATAGTATAAAACTTCACAGCTTAATCGATGCTTTTAATTTCACTTACAAAAATAGGTGAACCGCGAGCTGCTATCAAATATACATGATCAAAACATTTCTTCGGCTAAGAATGCAAGAAAACTGCTTCGTAGGCAGTCTTACAGGAACGACGAAAAACGCAAAAGTTAATATTTATGATTCAGTGACAAGGAAATAAATGGTGTTTACCCCAACCAAATAATTATTTCACGTACCTCACTTCCTTCGATGGACGAAACTCGAATGAAAGTTTATACGACGTGTCCACTTGTAGTTTCAGAGTCTGAGTCTCCTTAAACCTTTCACCATCAACTTTAAAGAACACTGGCGAGGAATCCTCGAATCTTGTGATGTGGATGTCCATTTTGAATGCACTTTCTTCTGTTCTAGAGGACGCCATATTGGAGGAGTGGTTTGTCGGTCGGTCACGCAATTAAGTTAAGTCACGCGTGACATGTGACATTTGCATCAGTTCCTCTCCATCTTGTTTACTTGAAATGACTAAGCTAAATGATTCCTTTTTAGCAACCTCTCCCGCGTTAAGTGACCAAGCTAAATGAAATGAAGGTACAGAATTTGAATGACGAAGAGTTGAAAGCGTACATGTAGCATATGTTTTATTTCACTCAGCTCCTTTGAAGAGACATTGTCACATTTCCGATGTAACGCCAAAATAAACGTGAGGTGACCAAAGATCACAGATGAGGTGCGGTGCAAGGACTGAATTTTACTATATAGAGGTGAAAAAATATCTTATCCTCTTGTTCAAATTGGTTCTAGCTTACTGTGGGTTTCATTTATTTTCCCATTTTTACATGTCAGGAAGCAATTTGAAACATTTCAAGTTACAGAAGCACTCGGGTCGAGATTGCAGACGCAAGACGGTGAAGATGGCATACATTTGTAAATACGACGTTTGTAATCAGCCTTGTGCTGTTGCTTACTTATTCTTAAGACTCTTCTGACACCTGAAAAAAGGTAATCTGTCCAAACATGTATGTAGGTTTGAGTTGTTCAAAATCAGTATTCAGTATCCGACCAGTATGAATGTTCATTGAACACTTGGGCTGCGACTGTAACTGTTTCGCGCCTCATCCGCACTGCGTCGGAAAGGGGCAAAAAGGCGGAGGGGGGGGGGGTAGTTGGCAGTGGGTGAGTCATGTAGACGCAACCCTTGACTCAAACCAAAGATTAAAAGGCCAATTATTCCCTGATAGTTAATATACATGTTTTGTTGGTGTTCCTAGCGTCTGTTGCGAATTTCAGTCGAACTTTACTGGCATAGTATTTACCTAATAAGGTCTGTGTGTTACTACGAAAAGGGAAAATTCAGACACTGCTTTCTAATATCGGCCATCAGCGTCGAAAATCGGACATAATTAACCAAAATGGGTCAATAGTGTCACAAATAGGACAATTGTGTCTAAAATCGGATTTTAATGATCAAAATCGGACACAGTAGAGGGTAATAGCCCTACTACACACGTTTTCTTCGAGAGTTCTTGAAATACCCCATCGATATTCAATTTCCCTTTTATTGTGAAATGGAGGGGATAAATGGATGATCTTTGGTGACAACGCCATTCGCCCGGCAGGAAATGTATTCGCGTGATATCCTCTGAGCCTTAGAAAAAATTATTGAATTTAAGAGTTTATCCACTACCAAATAATTCCTCGCAGAGGAAACCTTTATTCATTGGCAATATATTGTTAGGATTTGTCCAAACGATAATCAAAATGTACAAATTGTGTATTGTTCTGGTTTCACTGTTGTCAAAGGCGAAATCCACCTGTACACCGGACAATGGAAACATATCGCAAGCTTTGTTTGAGATAGCCAAAAAAAAACAGTGTTAACTGCCATTTGATGACAGACTAGGAAAACACTTCATTCACACCCAGGATGCGCATAACCAGTTCTGCTTTGCATTGCCTTGGAAACTAAAAATTCGCACAGCACTTTTTTCTCTTTTAGACACAACCACCACAGTTATCTTCGCATTTAGTGCACGTGAATACTGATCGATTCCTCTGACATTTAGCGTTGTGGCTTGAAAAAGACGACTGATTTATGGTGAGTTATTTAACACAAAATCTATTAATTCGTTAATTCTATTAATAAGACTTATCTTCTCATAGGATTGCGCGTTTTCAACTTAAATGAGGAAATACAAAATAGCTTCATTTGGACTACAAATGAAATTAACTTTAATTCGACTGCTCTAGCGTCTGAAGAAAAAGTTACTCCCCGGTGAAAACATTTAGGCAAATTGGCTTCACTAAATTGATCCTTTTACCAAAACCAATAACTTGAGAAAATATCTCTCGTAAAAGTAATCTCTTATTCTAGATAAATCATTTAGAAGATTTCTTATATCTTTCAATGTGAGGCACGGTGTTCTCCTTTACAGGCGCTATCGCATAAAATATACCGCTCAAAGTCGCTTGGAATTCTTGAAAACACAAATGGTAAAAAGATTGCTCTGCCGGTTTGAAAACATAACTAGAGCTATACGATTTGTTTAACCTGAACTATATGTAGATACGCTTTATGTCTTTTTGCTCTAACTGTGTTGTTTCCTTTTGTTGAAAAAATATCGGTATTTCAAATGATTTCCCTGAGAGTGTAGCACTCGTAACAAACGATTTTTTTAAACAATGAAAAATACTTGGTTAAAGCAACTTTTTAAACAAGAATCGTTTTCCTAATTCAGATCGTGGGTGCAGTCTTATATTTAAAACTAAGAGGCGAAATACTGAAGCAGATCAAAATGTTGTTAAAACGACCTTAAAACGAAATTTGGTGAGTATGAAATTGTTCGTGCGTTTTGAACGTAGAGTAATTTGGAGATTTAGAGAAATATGGATCCCGTCCAACTGATATGATACAAGGTTACAGTTTTCCGATATGCAAATGAATGCATATCAGTTCAATCAAGATGAAATATTATAAATTTTCTTCGCTGAAGATTTCAAAAGACAAAAGTTGAAAACAAAGAGATTGAAGATAGCACTGATGTCTGAGACTACAGAGACTGATTTCTTTCCAATTTTCCTTTAAATTCCTTCCTGTGTCTAATTTTTCTTTAATCGTCGGCTCAATTTACTGTTACTAAATCCCGGCATCAGCCCTGTTTGCCTTGTGTCTGGGTAGTTGTTTAACATACGTTTAACAATGATTTGACCGAGAGGTCGGAATAAAAAGTATATTAGCGCCCATGAAAAATTTCTCATCATCGATAAATCTTGGTGTAATCGCAGTACAAATGAATTTCATCCCACGAATCGTATTTCGTTTGAATATCTCACGTTACAACGACCTTCCCACATCAAACTGTTCTTCAGCCAGATTTCTTATTGACTGAGGACGTAGTATCAACTTTTTTCCAATGATTGTTTAATGTGGTATTTTATTGATGCACATAATGATTTTAACAAATTATGATTGTTTTTAGTGAATTTTTTGTTACCAATATTGCTCCCTAGGAGATGGACTTTCGTTTTTCAGTATTTCACATCGTCGTATGAAACTATTGACCAAGCGAATGAAAACCGTATGATGAATAAGTTTCAAGTAGTAACGGTGGTGCTTTTTTTTTTCTTCACAAGATGAAAATTACGTATCTTATATTAAAAATTAAAAGGTTAAAAAGGAGTAAAAATGTAAAAGAATATAGTCAAAAGCATGTAAATAAATCGAAACTTACAAAGCTACCTTGTATTTAAAAATTAGACGATTTACATAAGAATCTTTTGAACGGTCTGTGTTAACTTTGAAGCATTGATATGATTTGGAATTTCTTAAGTTATATTTTGTCTCCTTTTCCTTAAAGTTAAATTTTTCGAAAAAGATATAAAATCAACTTTGGCACTTTATTGAAAAAGTTTCTGTCCTGCTTTTCTATTTGTTCACGTGCGTTAATGGCCCTAGATATATATCTTTGCTTACGATACCTGTCTACAAGACAATGAATCTAGGTGTGCTCGGTTTAAGAAGCGCCATACAATGAAAGATCGTATGTGATGTTACTGCAAAACTAAACTAGTGAAAAAGTATAGAACGATGAAAATGGATTAAACGGTTTTGGAATAAAGAAGTGTGTAATTTATTTTGTTGTGATCGAAGGACGAAGACAGGAACCGAGTCCTCCACAAGGGGTCGTATGGTGGACTTTGCGTTTGCGTGCTCCGACGGTTTACCTCTGAGCTACAGAAATTTAACATACTGAAGGTATTAATTTTGTTAGGCTTTGTGCCAATTTCCTGTGCAAAGCTTTTAAGAAAAACATTAAAAACAAACGTTGTCATGCAAAATCTGTGAAAAAAAAAATTTGAAGAGAAAAAAAAAAAGTAGGGACAAAGAGTTTTCGTTCACACAGCTTATTTAATCATGGGTTTCCGACTGATTTTTTTCTCTTTTGTTTCGATTTTCAAACACTGCGACTTACTCGCTATTATAGTTGTATATTTTGACAGCCTGAAAACACACCACCTAGCCTCTACAACGTTCACGTATACGCCGCAGTTTGACCACTGTTTTCGAACCAGACCTCTCAATCCGGAGTCCAGCACGCTGACCAGTAGGCCGAAAGGTCGCGGGCGATATGATAGAACTGCACATCTATATCGAAGATTTTCTTTTCAAAGCTTTTTAAAGCTTAAAAGGGAATTGTTTTGACTGCTCAAAAACACGAATACAAAAAGTCCACACTATCATTTAAAATGCTGGGCAGTGGTTTTATTTGATATCCCTTGTTTACATTATCAGTTCCGGAAAAAAATTATTTCCTCGAAAGCTCTGGGCAAATTCAGCGCACAAAGGGATTTGAGAAAAAAAACTAAATCAGACATTTTAGAGCTAAAATTCTAAAGAGTGTCAAACAGTCTTCCGAAGATAAAAGGAAATATTTTCACCCTGGGAATAGTCAGGAAGTTTTTGTAAGGAAAAAGTCGCTTCAAGTCTTTATTACAGATTAGTGATATTTTCTCAAAAAGTGTAATTTTTTTTTAAGTACCTTTTGTTTATTCGAGATGTTATTGAAAATCCCTTGTAGTTTTAAATCGGAAATTTGATTAAGGAGAAGTAAATAAATACGGTTTTGCAAAGAATGTTAGTGGTCTTTTGCCAGGCATAAAGGCACTCTTACTCGATCTACCAAGAAGAACAAAATGAAATGGTTTTCACGCAGATTAAGCCAGAAAATTAAAAGAGGTAATTTAAGAAAGCCTATTAAACCACTGTTATTCACCTTCAATACTTTGTAGCTAATTTAGAACCCACTCATGTCCACTACAAATTTATTTAGAAACAAATGTCCTCTGATGAAAATTGAGTCGAAGGTTTTGAGTTTTGTCTGCCTCGCACTCCGGTAATTAGATATTTATTTCATTCTCTGTATAAAAGATCGATTCAA